GAAAGATCAGTATCATACATTATGTCATATAAAAAACTAATTTGAAAATAATGAGAGAGAAAGTGACCCATACTTATCAGAATAAAAATATCATCGAACGATCCAATAGTAAATACACTAAATCTTCTATTGGTATGAGGACTAACGAGGGAGGTCCCCAACTTTAAAATCGCTTTCGAGCCGAAATCTAGTGGACCATAGGTAGTCGACCATGCTGATTTCGAATATCAACATGAGACGGGCTAATAGGCCTCGAGGGTGCAGGAAAGAAACGAATAAGTGTCTTTTGATAATTTTTTAGAGTTTTATTCACTTCTAATTAATTAGCTTTAATGACATATTAACACGTTTCATATCTTTTTCAGGTGTAAATCGTGTAAAAAGTTTCAGTGCTTTAACATAACAGTTATAAGCTAGTGTTTTCTCATTAAAATGTTGAGAAATATTTCCAAGTAATTCAAAATTATCAGCAATATCTTTGCATTTACGTCTCATGCATATAGAAATTGATTGTTCACAATATTGTAATGCTTTGTCATAATCATTCTTATGATACCAGATCACACTTAAATTACTAAGAACTAACGCATATTCAAAATATTTTTCACTTTTTTCAAATATTAATATTGATTTTCTACAATAATTTAAAGCAAGATCAAACTGACCAACTTTATCATATAACCAACCAATAATATTATTTAAGTTAGCAATTTCTATTTCATTTTGGTCTATGTTTTCGTGTATGATCAATCGTTCTGTAAAATAGTCAATAGCTGAAACAAAATATATTTTATTTACATAACGCCAACGAATCAATTTTTTTAAACCATCATTTTCAATGTCACTTATTGGCCCATATTTCATCAGTGCTTCTAACATTTTTTCCAGATAATCAATAGATAATTTATAGTCTTGTTTTCTTCTATAATATGTTGCAATATTCTGATGAAAAAGAATAATTTTGGATTCATTGCTATATGGTTGTTTTTCCCAAATTTTTAGCGATATCAAACTATGTTCAATAGCTAAGTCATTTTCATTATTTTCTCCATAATAATGTCCAATACTTGCGTTTAAATCAGCAATTTGCATTTGATCATTTTGTGTTTCATATGGTTTCAGCTGTAAAGCATTTTTTAAATATGTACAAGCTAAAATATTGTTTTTTTCTATACCGTATAACTTTCCAATTTCTTCATTTAAACATGAAATTAAATTTTTATTTTGTGATGTAATAGTTTTATTTATTAACAATGTTTTTTGGCAGCGATCAATAGCTAATTCATATTTCTTTCTTTTTGTGTATAGTGAAACAATCGTTTTAACTATGTCAATAATTTTGTCGTTTTCAAACTCATTTTCAAAGAAACAAATTTCATAGAAATCTAATGCTTTATTATAATATTCTAACAATAATTCGATATTTGATTGATCAATCTTATAGAAACAACGACCGATAGAATAATTCAAATATGCAATTTCTGTTTTATCATTCTGTATCTCAGTTTCATTTATTAACGTTAATGATTTTCCATAGTATGTAAGTGCTAATTCATATTCAAATTTGTTGTAATAATAGTCTCCAATGCATCTATACGCTAAACCAAGCATATTATTACTATTTATAATCATTTTTTCTTTAATTGATAATAGTATAAAAAAATATACAAGTAATTCATCATATTTTTTAGTTTCCGAATAGATAATGTTCAGTGATTGATTAAGAGTTGCAATAAGGAGAGGACTATTGGCAATAGCATTTTGTTTTCTTGTGGTGATTGTTTTATGAATGAGACTTCTTACACCAAAAAAAATTTAAAGTTTTACCGGCAAGAGGTACACCTTTCAT